AAATTTTAGAGATCCATATATATATATATATATATATAACTAATGGTAGCTCAATTTAATAAACAGTTTAGTAGTTTTTATATTTTTTTTTTGTTTTGTCTATCATTTTTAAATACTTTTTAAATTCATTTATTATCTTTTACTTTTATTTCAGTTTAGTTTAATCTGTTAATTTTTTAATAGTAATTTCATTTTGTTTGATCAAATTGATTTTGAATTATATTTATTTGTGCATTCTTACTTGTTAGAATTAATTTTGATATAAAACTAATTTTGTAAGAATAATAAGTTCCTTTTTATCGTTTGAATAATTATAACTTTTATCACATGCTACTTTAATTTTTTCTTTTGACAATTTTTTTATAGTGAAAACCACAATTATTGATATGTTATAATAGTTTGTACAGACTATTATAAACTGCTTTATTGACTGGGATTACTCTGTTCTAATTTTAATTTAAAATTTTTGTTATTTTCTATTAAAACCAATTGAAGTTTTGTACATTAGACTATTTTGAAATATTTTACAAAATTTATAGACTAGTTAAAAAATAACTTTCTAGACTAAGATAAAATTAAGTTAATAGTTAATAAGCTAATCATTGAATTAAACTCTCTTGTAATATAACTTATGGAATAACTTTTCTCTAATTAAAATATTAATAAATTATAAAAATAAATGGAATTTTAGATTTAATTATTAAATAAATGAATGAAACAATTGAGAGTTACAATTGAGTTTCATTCACACATTATCTGTATATGTAGGCAAGAAGCTAAGTACAGCTAACTTTTTTTTTCGCCCCCTAATTAAGAAATCTTTAAGAACTAAAATTGATTTAAAGCATGTCTAAAATTTTGTCCTTACCTAATTTATAAATAGATTTCATTTCAGCTTTATGGGTTTTTCCTCTTACAATCGGATCAATACAAAATTATACCTCCTCGCATTAGAAAAAAACAGGAATGTTGAAAATATATATCTTGACTTTTTTGCCTTTCTAATTTTTCATTTTGATTTTGGGATGAGTTGGGGAGAAATTTGAAAAATGATGTTTAATGGATTTCTTGAAAGATGAAAACCATGGTGAGGGTTTTGGAATGCCTGCTAATAGGATTGATATATTTTTTTAATGTTTTAGTAAAGCTTGTTTAAGTGTAGAGATTAATTTTATTTAAAATTTGAAAAGTATATGCACTAAACCATGATTTAACTATTTCCTTTGACTGCCGTGATCAGATTTTCAAACCAGCTGTATCGAAAGCGTTAGCAAAGGATTAATTTGCTTATATCCCAAAGTTAAGGGGCTTGTAAGGATAAAAAATAGTTTAGGGGCTTTATGTGCGCAAATGGGTTAGTTTGGCGGCTTATGTCGTAGTTTGTGAATGCAAAACTTTAGTTTTTATTTTTTTTATCTTTTTATTATCCACGAATATATATAAAATATTAATTAAAAATATATAATATTAATATTTACATGCTGGACATTGAAAAAATTAAAAGGAAATTTTGAGACCAAAATTTGAATACACGTGGCAAAAAAATAATAATATAAAGATAATAAAACTTAAAAAAAAAATTTTTTTTTCTTTTTCCTTCTCTTTCCTTTTCTCTTTACCCTTCCCCCTTAGAACCCATCGAACCTAGCAGCCGCCGCTGGGTTCGTTCGAACCCAAGCGCGAGGTTCGTTCAAACCCAGTGTTAGGTTCAAAAAAAATTTCTTTTTATTTTTTTTTTTCATGGGTTTAATTGTTTGACTCAGAAAAATGGTGATAAAAGTTGTCTCAGAGGAGGCAAAGAGAGGGAAAAAGAAGGATGAATGAAGAAGATTCGAAAAAGAGGATGCTGGAGGAAGAAGATGAGGGTAAAATTGTAATTTTGATGGGTTACATGGCATGAATATAACCTATTATGTTGCCATGTCATCATTTTGACCTAACGTGTCTAAAATTTTTGTCATATCATTAACTCACTGTGAGTGAACCGTGGATATTTAACTGAAGGACCAAATCAAGGTTAAAATGATAAATTGTAAGGATCAAATCAGGAATTTTTTTAGTTTAAAAACCAAATTAAGGGTCCATATAATAATTTAGGGACCAAAATAGGATTTTAACCAAAAAAATATGGATAAGATATGAAAAATTGAAGTATATATCATGAATATTACATTAATTAAACTACATGGTTTAAGTATAATAAAACCAATGCAA